TCATAGGTGTTAGTCCTTCAATTTGACATGGCTGAAGGTCTGATTTGTTGCCAAATTACTGGGATAGAGATGTTAAAACTATATTATATGCGGAAGACAAATGGTGTTGAACCCCTACCCGTGTTCAAGGACGTTTGTTCAGTTTGACGTAAACGGCCCCTTTCAAACGCGTTGTCCTTTGTTCAAAATGTGCACTTGACTGTGTCATTAAATTGTCAGTTTTTCTTAAGGTACAGAGAAACTGCTGACCTGTAGAAAATGTCCTCCTGAATTGGGCCATATATTGTTTTTTTTTTTTTTTTTTTTTTTTTTTTTTTTGAGCTGCTGTTTTTGTTGACCCAACAATTTTGCATTCCTCACTACACTGCACTGAATATACCTGCACTAATTATACCAAGTTACTTCTCTTGTGTTTGGCCTTTTTCTATGTGCAAACTTTCTGTCTGTCTTTCTGGTCTTGAGAGATGAAGGGACGCACTGTTTGGTAAAAATCTTGAGTTTTTCTTGCATATACATGATGTAAATATTGCTCGTGGGTTCTGCTTCTCCCCTCTGTTTAGTGATTCTGTGTTTGTGCTTCTCCTTGTGGAGGTTTTGAGCCCAGTCTGGTCAACAACAAGCTTTCAAAGCCCTCCTGAGATGTCTGTGTTGATATTTGGATTCTACCATTTCAGCCTGATGTTGCAAACAGCCTAAACAACCCCCAGTTTGTGTTCCAGTGGGTGGTGGAGTAAAAAAAAAACTGGTCTGTTTAGCTGGGTTTCATGTTGACTTCAATGTAAGTCACCCCCACCTTCTGGACATGTAACACACAGCCAAGATGGGATCATTTATTCCTCTTTCTTCCCATTCCTTGGTGTTTTGAAAATTTACACTGGGTTATGTTATCAGGTTATGGTGGTTGCACAATTTTTATAGTTCCCATCCTGTTCTTGGACAATCGGCATCTGCCTTGATGCATGGTAATTGGATTAAGGTACACTATATTGCCAAAAGTATTTGGACACCCCTCCAAATGATTGGATTCAGATGTTCCAATTACCTCCATGGCCACAGGTGTATACATCAAGCATCTAGGCATGCAGACTGCTTCTACAAACATTTGTGAAAGAATGGGTCGCTCTCAGGAGCTCAGTGAATTCAACTGTGGTACTGTAATAGGTTGCCACCTGTGCAATAAGTCCTTCCCTGAAATTTCCTTGCTACTAAATATTCCACAGTCAACTGTTAGTGGTATTATAAGAAAGTGGAAGCGACTGGGAACATCAAATCAGCCTGACCTCACAAATACACTCCTAAACCTTATGGACAGCCTTTCCAGAAGAGCTGAAGCTGCTATAGCTGCGAAGGGTGAGCCAACTCAATATTATTATAACTCTACGTACTAAGACTGGGATGCCATTAAAGGTCATGTGCATGTAAAGGGAGGTGTCCCAATACTTTTGTCCAGGGGGGACTGACGACTCATGGGGCCCCCGGGCAATAGGGGATTTTGGGGTCCTTGCTCAAACTCAAAAAAGCCTATGAAAAAGGTACCAGGGGCATCTTATGGGGCCCTTGCTGACCCCGGGCCCTCAGGCAGTGCCCGAGTTTCCAAATGGTTAGTCCGCCCCTGCTTTTGTCAATCCTAGTGTATCTGTGCTACCTTTTTGTGGCTGTAATTGCTAGGGTAGATTCATGACACTCTTTAAAACTGAGATAAGCTGTGAAACATCACAGTGTTACAGAACAAGTCCATTTGAATGTGTCTAGCTTACTGATAGCTATACCATGACCTGGGTAAATGAAACCCTTCAGACAATTATTTTTCCTTTCATTCTAAAGTAACACTGCAAAGACCTTTTAGTTTAAAAAAAAAAAAAAGTATTTTTTTAGCATCCAACTACAAATGTATAGGTCAGCTATTGTTTTGCTTATTGCTTAGAAAAAATTTCAGGGGTTAATTTGGCAGGCAATTATTGATGCTAATCCAGTCTATAGATTTTCATAAAATAAAGCCTGTCTAAACCATTATATAACCTGTTACCAGTAATTTTTAGTATTTTATACTAAAAAAAAAATGTCTTCATAGGAGAAGGAAGGGAAGAAAGAAGAGGCGGTGCAGATTGCCTGGAGTTGACTCAGTTTTAAAAAGTTTTCCTGCTAATGAAAAAGAAGAAAATGATGAAAATTGTAAGTGTGATGCTGTGGTTGTGCATATTTTTTATTTTTTTTAAAGCTGTTCAGAGATGAGTCAGTTGTTTTCCTCCTAACCAGCCAGCTGAATGACAAAAACTGACATGATTCCCCTATCCCAGTGGTCGGCAAGCCGCTGCTCGCGAGCCACATGCGGCTCTTTACACGCTTTAATGCGGCTCTTGTGTGCCGGGCGCCCGCTCCCCTCCCTCCTCTCGGGCGGCAGGGACTCTGCAGCGTGATCCAAAAAAAAAAACAGCCAGGGCAGCGCGCTCAAATGCAATGATTGGCCAGTCTCGCTGCCACTCACATCCTGATAGCCAGCGATTGGCTGTCAGGATGTGTGTAGGCGGGGCAGCGTGACGAAAGTGAGAGGAGCTAGGCTCCTCTCACAGTCCGCCCTGAAAACCGGAACGGCACGGGAACACGGCAAAGGTAAGTGAATTGACACAGGGGGGACTTGGCTTACTACTTGCTACTTACTACTACTATATGGGGAATGAACTACTATATGGGGGATGAATTACTATATGGGGGATGAATTACTATATGGGGGGATGAATTACTATGGGGGATGAATTACTATATGGGGGATGAATTACTATGGGGGAAAATTACTATATGGGGGATGAATTACTATAAAAACTTATTGAAACTAAAAACAGTGTACCATCCTATGTATTTTCAGTTTTAAAAATGTGGCTCTCAAAATAAATTTCAACCGTGGTTTTGGCGAGATTTGGCTCAGTTGAAAAAAAAGGTTGCCCACCACTGCCCTATCCACATCTTCAAGATGGATGAGGGAATCCTCCCCGCTGTGTCTTTGCAGTCTAACAGTGGGCAGACTAGCTCGCCATCAGAATACACTGATCAGTGTTTCAGTCTGTAGCCTGCCTGATTGATTGAGCAGAAATTCTCCATCAGAGTGGTGAACAGAACTCTACCGTTTTTAGATTGACTTCTATTCAACCAGAGTAACGTACAGGGTCCGAACTTTGGTCGGTCCCTGCTAAGCTGGCAGAATTTCAATCCATGTATGGCCAGCTTTATATTCTGACTTTAAAGTGAACCTTTCTTGAGAACACATGAGAGCTGTTGCTGGCCTCTCTCTGAAAACAATGGCATTTATGCTGACCTTCTGGTTTCAATACTGACCTAGAACAAATATACAGGAACATTGTTGTAAAGCCAGAACTTATTTGCATGCTCCTTTTAGGTTAATGACTCTGAAGCTTTATGTTCAGCATGGCAGCCAGGCATCTGGTGTTCTCCATTTTTTTTTTTTTTTGGTTACACCCCTTCCACATATGTACGCACGTACTAACAAAAAAGCACACCCTGGCGCCTACGTATGAATACCATGATTGCGATACACGTTACATATCACCGTGCACACCAGAATGATAGCAGTAATTCTAGCACCAGACCTCCTCCGTAACGCTAAACTGATGACCTATAATGGGTTTTCAAAAGCGTCACCTATAGAAAATATATAGGGTACTAAAGTTTGTTGCCATTTCACGAGTGCACACAAATTTTAAGGTTTGACATTTTGGATATCCATTTACTCTATGCAACCTCATCTTTTTTATATTTTACAAAAAAATTGGATAATTTATTGCTTTTTGTGCCCTAAAATTAACTTGTGTATTTTTTACTGAAATTTTGCGTTTCCTAGACCTTTGATAATATCGTGACATAAAAAATTCGTACTGCCGCTATTTTATTCTCTAGGGTCTTTGATTTCAGAAAATATATCATGTTTTGGAGTTTTTTTGTGTAATCTTCAAGCCTTTTTAAATGAGTTTTTTTTTTTTTTTTTTTTTTTTTTTTTTTTTTTTTAAACGTGTGCAAAAAAAACCCACAAAAAACGCTCTGGCAGCAAAAAGGATAAGGCCGACACTCTCCTTTCCTGATGAGCACCCAATCGGTGCTTGTTACACTGCAAGGTCTGTCCCCTCCCTGCTAGTCCCTGGGTGCGATGCAGGAGACAGGCAGGAAGGGGAGGAAGAGATATACAGTGCAATGTTACAAATATTAAACGTTTATTAAACGTTATTAAAGTCTCCATAAAGCCCCTTTTTTTTAATTTAAAAGCCCAAGACATTACTTTAAAGCAGATTTTAATACAGATTTTTTTTCTTAATTTTTTTTTTTATCTGGACAAGTAGATTATCATGAGGGACAAGTAGACTGGGGCACTGATTTAGTTCCTCTCTGGTGAAAATAATAAATCCACATGCTATATTTTTGACGGAGAAAAGTATGTGTGCTGACGACTACATTTTTTTCTTGAAGTGTGAACGTGGCCTTTTTTAAATTGCAATTTGTCTGTAAATTCTAAAGTGTTTAAATATTCAATATAACTGAACCTGGTCTTACTTTTTGGTTAGAAGCCTGTTAAAACAAAAATGTAGACGTAGAGTATATTCCCCACCCTTCTTTTTTTTTTTTTTTTTTTTCTTTAACATATTTTAACAACCATTCAGATATTTTCCGTTTAACGTTGCCATTGTTCGTTCCTTGTGTGCCAAATAACGCTGATCTTAATTTATAATCTACATATTATGTTTGTTCATGTGCAAATTCTTCTTTGTAAAAATGTTTATGCTAAAAGTAAACCTTTTCCAGAGAGCATAGTCCTGAATGTTTATGTTCTGTTGTGCAGTGCTGAGAGATGAAAGTATGTATAAGACAAACACTTGAGGTAACCAGTCACTGTATTTATCTATCTCCTAGCACTAAGTAGTTCATCAGAGGACAGCGACGAAGGGACTGATGTAGAAATAAAAAGTGAAGAAAGTGAGTTTGAAGAAAAAGCAGAAATGGTATGTCATTTTTATTTCTGTGCTTCCTATTGACTGCATTGTATCACTAGTATCTCATTTTAGGATTAGAATAAATAAAATAGTCTCTCAGTCTGGTAAATAAAAGCTTTATATAAAGGTGCACATAAAATTCAAGTGGGAAACCAAAATCTGTTACTCTGTATGCTTAACTGAGCCCATATATTTTTTTTTATGATGTTTTATAAGTTATTTTTGCTTCATGTGTCTTTTTTTTTTTTTTTTTTTTTTCCCCAGAAGGAAGAACATGAAATTCATTTGAAACGAGAAATGGAAGAAAAAAGTATTGTAATAGAAATTCCTGAAATTTTAAAAAAGAAGCTTGAAGAGGATTGCTACTACATAAATAAACGCAAACGAGTATGTTATTTCAGGGACATGGCTTTGTAAGCTTGCTAATGAATGGATATATCTTCTAATAAGATGTTATGGTAGGCACTTTATATTAGGTTAAAAATACTTAATTCGTATATTGAGCTGGGACCTCACACCAAGTCCTAGGATTTTTTGAATCCCAAATTTTGTGGGATATTTTTTGTCTGTTTAGTTTGCCGTTCATCATTTTAGCTCCCAAACTTATGATAGACATGCAGAGATCCAGAAAAATGTCACTTTGTTAGAACTATAGTTCAGACTTTTAATATAGTGAGGAAAATCTGTGTAGGGACACAGGTTTTTGATCCTAACAGAGGTTGTACCCCTTTTTGAGTTCTATGCAAAATGAAACAAAATCGTGTGTGTGTGTGTTAGCACATTTTGGTAAAGTTGTTTGTTTATTTTTTATTTTTTTTGTGCAATAAGTTATTGTTTTCTGTTTTTAGCTGGTCAAACTGCCTTGTCAGACCAACATCATCACCATTCTGGAATCATATGTGAAACACTTTGCAATTAATGCAGCCTTTTCAGCTAATGAGAGAATAAGGCATCACCAGACCACTTCCAATGTCAACATGAATGTACATTATATTCCACCAGAGAAAAAGTAAGCTCAGTAGTATGTTCTTTGGATTTAAGACTATTTCAATAGCTCTGGATTTATGTACAGTATCTCACAGAAGTGAGTACACCCCTCACAATTTTGTAAATATTTTATTCTAGCTTTTCATGTGACAACACTGAAGAAATGACACTTTGCTACACAATGTAAAGTAGTGAGTGTACAGCTTGTATAACAGTGTAAATTCACTGTTCCCTCAAATTAACTCAACACACAGCCATCAATGTATAAACCACCAGCAACAAAAGTGAGTACTCCCCTAAGTGAAAATGTCCAAATTGGGCCCAAAGTGTCATATTTTGTGTGGCTACCATTATTTTTCAGCACTGCCTTAACCCTCTTGGGCATGGAGTTCACCAAAGCTTCACAGGTTGCTACTGGAGTCTTCTTCCACTTCTCCATAACGGCATCACGGAGCTGGTGGATGTTAAAGACCTTGCACTCCTCCAACTTCTATTTGAGAATGCCCCACAGAACCTCAATAGGTTTTAGGTCTGGAGACATGCTTGGTGAGTCCATCACCTTTACCCTCAGCTTCTTTAGCAAGGCAGTGGTTGTCTTGAAGGTGTGTTTGGGGTTGTTATCATGTTGGAATACTGCCCTGTGGCCCAGTCTCTGAAGGGAGGGGGTCATGCTCCGCTTCAGTATGTCACAGTACATGTTTGCATTCATGGTTCCCTCAATGAACTGTAGCTTCCCAGTGCCGGCAGCACTCATGCAGCCCCAGACTATGGCGCTCCCACCACCATGCTTGACTGTAGGCAAGACACACTTGTCTTTGTACTCCTCACCTGGTTGCCGCCACACACTCTTGATACCATCTGAACCAAATAAGTTTATCTTGGTCTCATCAGACCACAGGACATGGTTCCAGTAATCCATGTCCTTAGTCTGCTTGTCTTCAGCAAAGTGCAGGCTTTCTTGTGCATCATCTTTGGAAGAGGCTTCCTTCTGGGACAACAGCCTTGCAGACCAGTTTGATGCAGTCTGCGGCCATATGGTCTGAGCACTGACAGGCTGACATCCCCACCCCCACCCCTTCAGCCTCTGCAACAATGCTGGCAGCACCCATATGTCTATTTCCCAAAGACACTCTGGATATGACACTAAGCACGTGCACTCAGCTTCTTTGGTCGACCATGGCGAGGCCTGTTCTGAGTGGAACCTGTCCTGTTAAACCGTTGTATGGTCTTGGCCACTGTACTGCAGCTCAGTTTCCAAGGCTTGGCCATCTTCATATAGAGCAACAATTCTTTTTTTTCAGATCCTCAGAGTTCTTTGCCATGAGGTGCCATGTTGAACTTCCAATGAACAGTATGAGAGAGAGCGATAACGCCAAATTTAACACATCTGCTCCCCATTCACACCTGAGACCTTGTAACACTAACGAGTCATGTGACATTGGGGAGGCTAAATGGCTAATTGGGCCCAATTTCAACATTTTCACTTAGGGGTGTACTTGCCTTTGTTGCCAGCAGTTTAGACATTAATGGCTGTGTGTTATTTTGAGGCGACAGCAAATTTACACTGTTATTCAAGCTGTACACTCACTACTTTACATTGTAGCAAAGTGTCATTTTTCAGTGTTGTCACATGAAAAGATGTAATAAAATATTTACAAAAATGTGAGGGGTGTACTCACTTCTGTGAGATACTGTATGCCAAGACTAATGGCAATGCGAAGTCTTGCTGTTTATAACCTGTAGTGTCATGTAGTGACATAGATCCCATAATGCTTTGCAGTATTTCTGAAATGGGTACGGTTATGCTTACATCTTATATATGGTACCTTTTCTGTATTATTGCTGAATCAGTAAAAAAATTTTTTAAAAATATATATATATTTTTTTTTTTTTCTCATAGCGTTGAACTTTGTAAAGAAATGGTGGATGGCTTAAGAATTACCTTTGACTTCACCCTTCCGCTTATACTTCTGTATCCCTATGAGCAAGCACAGTATAAAAAAGTTACGTCGTCTAAATTTTTTCTTCCTATAAGAGAAGTGGTATCTTCTGGCAACAGGTACATGTGTGTGTGTGTGTGTGTGTGTGTGTGTGTGTGTGTGTGTGTGTGTGTGTGTACACTGCTCACAAAACTTAAAGGAAACGCTTTTTTTTTTTTTATCAGAGTCTAGCATCAAGTCATACTCCTGGGATATTGAGTAATCTCAGCTAAGTGGCAGAGGGGGTTGTTAATCATTTTCAGCTCTTCTTGTGTTAATGAAATTAACAGGTGCACTAGATGGGCAACAACGAGACAACCCCCAAAACAGGAATGGTTTGACAGGTGGAGGCCACTGACATTTCTTTTCCCTACTCATCATTTGACTGTTTTTCACTAGTTTTGCATTTGGCTAGGGTCATTGTCACTACTGGTTAGCATGAGGCGATACCTCGACTCTACAGAGGTTGCACAGGCAGTCCAACTCCTCCAGGATGGCACATCAATACTTGCCATTGCCAGACGTTTTGTTGTGTCTCCCAGCAGAGTCTCAAGAGCATGGAGGAGATTCCAGTATACAGGCAGTTACCCTAGGAGAACTGGACAGGGCCGTAGAAGGTCCCTAACCCATCAGCAAGACCGGTATCTGCTCCTTTGTGCACAGAGGAACAGGATGAGCACTGACGGAGCCCTGCAAAATTACCTCCAGCTGGCCAGTGGTGTAAATGTCTCTGACCAAACAATCAGAAACAGACTTCATGAGGGTGGCCTGAGGGCCTGACGTCCCGGCACCATAGAGCTCGATTGGCATTTGCCATTGAACACCAAAATTGGCAGGTCCGCTGCTAGCGCCCTGTACTTTTTCACAGATTAGAGCAGGTTCACCCTGAGCACGTGTGAAAGGGTCTGGAGAAGCCATGGAGAACATTTTGTGCTGCCTGTAACATTGTTCAGCGTGACCGTTTTGGTGGCGGGCCAGTGATGGACTGGTGAGGCCTATCCATGGAGGGACGCACAGACCTCTACAGGCTAGACAATGGCACCCTGACTGTCATTAGGTATAGAAGTGAAATCCTTGGACCCACTGTCAGACTCTACGCTGGTGCAGTGGGTCTTGGATTCTTGCTGGTGCACGACAATGCCTGGCCTCGTAGCGAGAGCATGCAGGCAGTTCCTGGAGGATTAAGGGATTGATACCATGGAATAGCCCCACGCTCGCCTGACTTAAATCCAATAGAAGATCTCTGGGTTATGTTTTAGTCCATCCGACAGCACCAGGTTGCATCTTAGACTGTTCAGGCGTTCAGTGATGCTCTGGTCCAGATCCGTGAGGAAATACCCTAGGACGGGTGTCGGCAACCCGCGGCTCCGGAGCCGCATGCGGCTCTTTTTCACCTTTCCTGCGGCTCCGGAGTACACTGCCCACCAGGTGACAGGCAATAGGGTCGGCAAGCCGCGGCTCTTTTAATGCAGCTCTTCTATGTGCCGGGCGCCCGCTCCCCTCCCTCCTCTCCAAACATTGGCTGTCAGGATGTAGGCGGGGCAGCGTGACGAACTCCTCTCCTCTCACAGTCCGCCCTGAAGACCAGAACGGCGCGGGAACACAGCTAGAGGAACGCGCGCGGAGCAAAGGTAAGTGAATTGACACAGGGGGAATGAATTACTATAGGGGGGATGAATTACTATGGGGGATGAATTACTATGGGGGATGAATTACTATGGGGGATGAATTACTATATGGGGGATGTATTACTATATGGGGGATGAATTACTATAGGGGGGATGAATTACTATAGGGGGGATGAATTACTATAGGGGGGATGAATTACTATAGGGGGGATGAAATACTATAGGGGGGATGAAATACTATAGGGGGGATGAATTACTATATGGGGGATGTATTACTATATGGGGGATGTATTACTATATGGGGGATGTATTACTATATGGGGGATGAATTACTATATGGGGGATGAATTACTATAGGGGGGATGAATTACTATAGGGGGGATGAATTACTATAGGGGGGATGAATTGGTATGGGGGATGAATTACTATATGGGGGATGAATTACTATGGGGGATGAATTACTATATGGGGGATGTATTTTCAGTTTTAAAAATGTTTCTCTCAAAATAAATTTCAATCGTGGTTTTGGCGAGATTTGGCTCAGTTGAAAAAAAAGGTTGCCCACCACTGACCTAAGGCTATGATTGTGATTATGACGATACACTGTGGCCCTGGTTAACCCTTTGCATATATTGCGAAAAGCGCTCTGGTCATGAAGGGGGTTTAAGGGCCCAGTAAGCAGTGTCGGATTTGTTTTAAATGTTGCAATGGTTTTGTGGCTCCCAGTCTTTTTTTCCCTCTCGGAAACGGGTCCAAGTGGCTCTTTATGTCTTAAAGGTTGCAGACCCCTGCCCTAGGACATCATCTATCGTCTCATTAGGAGCACCCCCCGACGTCAGGCATGCATACAAGCATAAAATTTCAGCAAAATAGACTAGCCTGCTGCTTTTTTTTTTTTCCACTTTGATTTTTGGGGTGTCTTTTGAAGTCAGTCGTTCTGTAGGTTGATTTTCCTCTCCAACAAACGATGGGGCATCCTTACGTTCCGAACATATTACCCAGTCCATATCAGTTTAGATGTCCAGCATGATATTTTTTCCCATTGAGACCTGATGTATTTTCAAAGTGTATCTATAATTTTTTTTGAGCAGTGTATTTGTAATAAATTTGTATAGATTTGCACTTGCCTTTTTTTTTTTTTTTTTTTTTTTAACCTTGCTACAAATGGAAACTAATATTTTCCCAGTAATAATAATGTTTGTTTCTTTTGTACTATTTCTCTAGGAACCAGGAGGAAGTATCACCAAGCCCTCCGCTTTTAAACCCTCCAACTCCCCAATCCACAGATAGCCAACCTACCACTGGAGAATCGGCTACTCCTAAAAGACGGAGGACGGAACCAGATATTTTACAGTCCTTAAGACGCTCAACACGTCACAGTACGAGCTGTGATAGGATGTCAGAAAGTAGTGCTTCTCCGCAACCCAAGCGTCGCCATGCAGAGACTCCAACATCGATGCCAAAATTGTTTCTGCATTTGGAGAAGAGTATGGTTTCTATTTTTACTATTCGCTTGATTTTTATTTTACTTAAAGCAGTGCTCAGCTTCCCCCAACTTGACCCATGTAATTATTTTCCCTCTTACCTGTAGTGCTGCATTCTTACACATTCATCTGCATGGTGAATCCAACTTTTTCTGTTGTTCACCGTTCTGGTGCCATACTGAGGGTGCAGCGCTGCCATCTTGGTCTTCCTTCAGCAGGTTGTCTCATCGTTTATTCACCAGACCTGAAGCACCAGCTGCTGTGTACCAATCCTGTAGCCCATTTTGACCTAGCCAAGAATAGCGGCCGTAGGACGAGTAGGCAAAAATTTAAACCAAATGCAAAAAATTATGAAATGGATAGAAAAAAACTTTAGCAATTCTGCTTGGTGAGGAAGTGTTAAAATTAAAATATTTCCCAAAAGGTTCTAAATGTCTCATGTAGGTGTTTAACTGAATAAACCTCAATTAAAAGTAAGAAGATTTAAAGGATCCAGTATTTACAATTTCTCCTTGCCAAACGTGTAGGAAAGTTGCAGATCACTCTGTCCATGCTGATAAAATTGGGGATCTATGAAGTGGGTAAACTGAAACATTGGACCTGGGACAGTATGAATAACTTGCTCTCTTCACTTCTTCCCCCAATCATTTGCTAAAGAACATGGCACCATGGTTAAATGCTTTTAATGGGGGGGGGGGGGGGGGGGCATGGGGGTGGATTTTGCATCAAAAAACTAATGGTGCAGATTATGAAAAGAGGGGTACACATTAAAAAAAAAGTGCTTGAACTTCTATCTGAATCGCCTTTTAAATAAGACATCTGCATTAAAGTTTACTTGCACTTTGTTCTAGAAACACCTGTTCATAGTGGTTCATCATCACCAATTACTTTAACTCCAAGCAAAGAAGGTAGTTCCGTATTCTCTGGACTTGAAGGGAGACGAAACAATGAACTCAATGAGGTATTGTAAAAAGCATTTAACAGCCTTATAATTTTTGTTTTCCTAAATAGAATCTGCTATCTTTTTTAAAGTGATAGTAAAGGTTCAGATGTGTTTTTTGCTTAAAAACTTACTTGGCTGCTCTGCGTAGTGGTTTTACAGAGCAGCCCCAATCCTGTTCTAATCGGGTTCTGCATGGGCTCTCCTGGCTTCTCCCCCCTGCTCTCTTCCCCTAGAGCAAACTGCTTGCTCCCGAGTTGCCTCTGTGTCTCAGCCTTGCCCCTTTACTCCTTCCTCACTGGCTCTGATTGACAGCAGTGAGTAACATTGGCTCCTGCAGCTGTGGCTCTGCCAATGAGGAGGCAGAAATGCGGGAGAGTTTCTGCTCTCGTGCACATTGCTGGATCTAGGTTGACCCTTTTTTTTTTTTTTTTTTTTTTTTTTTTTTTTCATTCAGCTTAATTGGATAAATGTTCACTGATAAAATTGTTAAACCATTTCTGTGTATGTTCTCCAGTGGGTCCATCAGCACAACAGAAGTTCTGAGCTGCACAGAAGACAGTTTGCACGCAGACCCTTGTGTCCTGTTGTGCCCAGAGCCCTCACATTTGCTCCTAGCAGCTGAAAATGTGTTTCTCTCGCAGCTGAATACAGTTAGGGGAATATGGCTATTTTTTTTTTTTCAAATAAGGTACAGATTACTTTTTTTTGTTTTGTTTCTTACAGTCCACATAGACAATACCAGGTAAAGGATCTGCATTTAAACTGTGGTTATCCTTAAGGGTGAATTCACACTGTGCGTTGACTGGCGTTTTACTGCGGTGTAGCACTGGTCACCACAAGGACACAATTTTTCTGTGTCCCATTCACACTAACAAATGCACACATGCTACATTTTATCACAACACGCTGTACAGGATTGCATGTCACTGTACAGCAATGCAGCGCACACTATAGGTGTCATAGAAAGTGGTAATGACATATGATTAAGAGCACTTTGACATTTTTAAGCTGTGGGTAACAAAGCCCATCTGAAGGAGGAACTTTTTGGGAGGTTTGGCGGAAAGGGAAAGACCTATTCCCATGCATTTAAATTAAATTGTACATTCAGCAAAATCCATAATTTTAATAATCACAGAAACCTACATGATTCTTTGAAATCCAGTGAAGAACAAGGGTTATGACAGTGGTGATGGTATGGGGTGAGATTAGATTTCTGAAGTGCTTGATGCTGTAACATATTCTAAAATAATACCTAATGCTAAGGTTAGTAATCTTGATGCATATCTGGGGTGGGGGTGGGGGTCCATAGATCGTTAACTTTAGCTAAGGGAGCTCTTTGGTATGCTTCTAGGCAAACCCACAAATGACTATTTAGAAGTAACACGATACACTGCTAAGGGGGAGTTCTGCATGGCTCTGTAATAAAACTGAATCTGCAGTGCAGGACTGCCAAAATTCCCCAAAGTTTGAGTTGAAAGTTACTTTCTGAGAAACCCTCTATCTCTAACTGCTTCACATAAACCTCAAAAAGGGCACTAGAGAGTTGGAGAGTTTGCAAGATATTTGCTGGAATGGACTCAGGATCCTAAATGGATACAGACGTTTAGGAATGAGAGTCCTTTTTGGGGCAGTGATATGGCCGAGCCCTAATAGCGTATACAAATAAATAAATAAATTTAAAAAAATATATATATCTTTCCACAATTTCGAAAGTCATCCCTGTTTTTTACATGGCTAACTATTACTCTCTGCTTAGTCAAAGGTGGCATATGAGCTGTATGCATTAATAAGAGGGGAGCCTTGTTTTCCAAAGCAGTGGGAAGATAGTTTGTAGTGCCTGCATGAGAGATATTAGAAAGTTAATGATGAGCATGCAGAATTTTGTATTAACTTGAAGGCAAGAATTGTCCCCAGAACAAGCTGAGAGGGAAAATCCTCTATGGGGACAGCTGTCTAAAAATTCCCCTCACTTTGAGAGATTTCTAATAAGTTCCTGTTGCATATTTTGAACAGGAAATGAAGGGAGATTTTCCTTTGTGGTTCAGACAGCAAAAAAAGTTTAACCCTTTCCTACTCTACCAAAAAATTAAAGAACAGTTTTGGCACTACATAAAGTTTAGAACAGCAGTTTAAATTCTGGGTGTTTCGTCAAATATGGTTTGCGTAAGCCCTGGGTGTTAACTTCTTTCATTGTTTGCTCTTTCCTTTTTATCTCCAATGACGTATTCTGTGTACATGTATTTGCAGTTACTCATCTTAAATTAATCTTGCTGTAGTTTTAGCCATGGCAGATGTGCAGTTTCATGATTTGGTTAATTGTTTGTTTTCCTTAATTTCCTCAGCATTGTTGGATATTAAATTTGAAGGAAGAGAAGTAGACTGTCTATATCTCTTAAACTGCACAGCATAAAGTGACCATTATAGACAACAGCTAGGGTTACCCATAAGTATGGTTGAATTGTATGACTATCTCAATTGATTTCCCAATTTGTTGTCTACTGTTGGAGGGAACATCGATCTGTTAACCCCATGTCCTTGAAAGACTGACACAGTCTCTTGCTCCATCCTCCTTTCCTGTCCTTAGATGAAAAAAAAGCAAGTCAGAGTGGGACTCAAACCTGTTAAACTGAGTATGGTCAAATGCATGGGTGAATCACCTTAAGGGTCAGTGAGAAGCCATGGATATTTTAAATATAAGTTTATTTACATAAAACAAGCGGTTTTACCATTTAGAGATTAGGATGGTCATATAAAACATTTTTTTTTTCTCCATATTTTGGAGGGTCAAGTGAACCTTTTTTTTTGTTAGTTGTCTAACATTAAAATACAACAGATCTTATTGATTGGACTCTTTACGTGAAAGAGAAAAGGACTGCTTGTATCATTCATGTTCCAGATTTTCCCTTCTGAAGTACAACATGCTATTTATGTGGTATGTTGCTCTTTTTATCCTTGGTTTTTTTCTCTAACTTGAGAATCCTTTTGAATAAAAAGTTTTGAGTTAAAAATCAGCAGATCTTGATGAAGTTAGTAATGTGTGATTGGATTCAAAAATATTTGTGCAGTCCGTAATGTATGTGTGTGTGCTTTGCTTGGATATTGATGTGTATAATTTGCAGCAGAGCTTGATGGCAGACACAAGATTATCAGGGTATTAAATATATTTATATCCTGAAATTTGCCGTGCACCTCCCTTTTTGAAAACGGTTTGGCTTGGTGATGGTTTACAGTTCTGTTAGAATGGGAAATCTCTGCTACCCCCTACTGTTTGTTTTACATTCTTGCAGCAGCTCTCTTAGTAATAGTCTGAATAGCTGAGACAAAGGTGGTTTGCTACATACAACACAACAGGGCAAAATGTACTGTATATTGAGAAATGGACAATTGCACATTTGATCTGGCAAAACTGGTATAAACCTCCACCTGACTGAATTCAGATATACTTCCAGTGCTAACTATAGCCAGTTCATGCGGCTGTGTCTTGGCACCATTTTCTTCCTTCAGTCACTGGCACCCTTTGCACATGTATGGATGCTTAAGCCAGAGAGTAATGATTGCCTGCTCAGTGCCAGAGGTTAAAATTCCATGGCAACAAAATCCAGCTGAGGCCTTCTTCAAAGGTATATTCATGAATTATGGAGAGTGAGGGTCCTATAGAGCTCAAGAGCGCACTTGTCCTTTATTTTTTAAAGTAAACTTTTTTTTTTTTTTTTCTTCATACCGTAGTACTGTAGTGTTTTAGGACATGTCTGCAAGTCTTATCCAAAAATTTGGCAAAGGGTTATAATTTATGTAATTAATTTTTTTTTTTCTTCCCTGTTGAAAGCTTTTTTCCTCATGCTGATTCAGTGTGTATTGTATTCCGATATCTTTTGACTTTTAAAATGACCACTAATGCCTAGTACACACGATGAGAAAATCCAACTGAAGGTTTTTGGAGGGATTGATCGATTAATCTGATCGTTGCTACACAGGTTTTTAAGATCTGATCATGACAGTTCATGCAAAATTATCCTAAAGGGACAAGTACGAAAAGTTTTCTCATAACAGAACTAAGCATTTTCGTTTAATTAGTACAGTATACATCTGTAAAAAATCAAGTGATTAAGACCGCGCATTTTTGGAAATGAAAGAATACATTACACCATTGTGGGAAGTTGTATTCTGTCTTTAAAGAGAATTTTAGTGACTCTAGTAGCCAATTTGTTTTCCATATGAGAGTGCATGTAATCTCAGGTAAAGGCAAGTACATCTAAATGCACAAATTTCCCAAATTTCCCTAGCATTTAAAAGCCTAAATACAGGAGTGCTATGTCACCTAATGGTATCTGATTTGGTCTGTTTTACATGCAGATTTGAGGCAAAATGTAAATGATTAGTTGGAGGCTGCATCTTTTATAGACCCAAGGAAAACTCCTTTGGACTTTGCTGTTCACATTCTTTTGGCTTTTTAGTGTTTGAAATGTTACCGTATTTTTCACTCCATAAGACGCACCTAGGTTTTAGAGGCAGAAAACAGGAAAAAAAAAATTCTGAACTAATGGACTGCAGACACAGTACAGGAGATGACCAGAGACTGCAGGCAGCACAGGGATGACCAGAGACTGCGGACATACTACAGGAGATGACCAGAGACTGCGGACAGTACAGATGACTGCTGACCTTGGGGGGTGGTGGGGAGCGGGTACCTGAATTTGACAGGTACCCGCTCTTACTTCCGCAGAGTTTTTGTTTGATCTTACCTGTTCCTCGATCCAGCCGCGCGCTGTCTTCCCGGATTCTGTAATGGCGCTCGGCATGACAGCCGGTTGCCCAGTGCGCATGAGCGAGAAGCACTTGCGCTTTGTGATTGGTCCGGCGGCTTCTGGGATCTGTCATGTGTCCCAGGTAACGCCTTACCATTCACAAAAAGCACCGCTTCTTGCGTATGCGCACTTGGCACCCAGCTGTCGTGCCCAGTGCACACTACAGAAGCCGGAAGACAGCGCGCCGCTGGATAGAGGAACAGGTAAGATCAAAGAACAAAGTAAGAGCGGGTACCTGTCAAATTCAGGTACCCGCTCCCCACCTCCCCAAAGGTCAGCAGGCATCTCCATAAGGTCCCGCTGCAGAGCTGAGCGGCCGGCCCGGTATTCTGACACGGCCGCTGTGGAAATACTGGACCGGGCGCTCCATATTCGCTCCATAAGACGCACTGACATTTTCCCCCCTTTTTTGGGGGGGAAAAAGTGCGTCTTATGGAGCGAAAAATACGGTAAGTATAGTTTTACTGCATAAATGGATCCTGAAAATATCCTTTAATATACAGAAGTGATATGTTAATGTAGAGTGCAGAGTTTGATTCCTATTGCTTTAACACTTTTTGTGACACCACATATTGAAAATAAATACCACATGCAGCACCAACTGCATTCACTCAGCCTGTGATAAACAGATTTTACTTTTACACAAAACAAAGGCATCAGATTTTATAACCTAAACACCTACACATTTTTTCCTCAAGCCTTTTTTTTTTTTTTTTTTTTTTTTTTTTTAGAAGTTCTGTTTGTGCTGCTATGTAAAACTGGCATTAACATGCATTTTAAAAGAATCTATACACTGCTTTTGATAACGCAGTGAGCTCTTTCTTTCCATAGGTGTTGTCTTGGAAACTAATGCCAGAAAATTACCCTCAAAGTGATCAACCCCCACCTCCTTCTTACATATATGGGTCACAACATCTGCTCCGCTTGTTTGGTAAGAGATCTCTCATAAAATGGCTAAAAGCTAATTCATATCATTGACCATTTTTTCATAACTCCAGTGGCAGACTTCATATTCTGAGTAGATCAGCCTCAATTGTCAAAACTGTAGTCTGTATACATGAAATATAATTTTTAAGGTTCATAACATCTCACCAAGTCTCCACTGAGGCTGCCCATACACAAATGTTTTTGTAGCAACAACCTGGGCAAGCCTTTTTTGCATTGAAATCGGAGCTCCAGGCTTTCCCTGCCTTGCAGCTTCACAACCGGTTGCCTACTGTGCATTCATGAAGAGCGCTATGCTTTGTGAATGGGTCGCAGTCTTCTGGAACAGGTGACGTGTCCCAGAAGGCTGTGAGGGAAGGAGGGCGAACCTTTCCGCTCAGATTGCTGCGGTACATCTGTTCATAAGTGGAAGCAGGTACCTGTCAAATCCAGGTACCTGCTCCTCACCCCCCTTCCCCGCCACCCCAATAAAGTTCCAAATGTGGCAGTGGAGGGGGGGGGGGGTGGATGCAGACAAGTGGAACTTTCCCTTTTGGATAAAGTTCCACTTAAAAATAGAATTGGATCCTGCAAATTATAATTTTAGTACAGCCTGTTCTAAATCGTGAAATGTTTACATGTTACTACATGGAAGCTATCATTTTTTTTTTTTTCTCCCTTGGCACTTCCTGCTCTGCCTCTGTATACTTGAGTGCCATCTTGAAACAAGAATCTGGTCCAGCCAGAATCCTTTTTATGGTTTAAGACTGGCCATAGATAATGCAGTGTACAAAATTTCATGCTTGTACCCACGCTTTTCAGTGTGCCCTTTCACAGCCAAGAGAGTTTGGGTTATTGAGGAATATAATATATTTCTTTAATGGGAATATGATATACTTGGTACAATCGGGCTCTAGAAAATACCCTCCGACACAGCTATCCCAGCAACTACAATTAAATTGTGCTTTTGCAGTAGTGAGGGGGCAAAAGAAAATCGGGCTTAATATACCAAAAGGAATCTTAAAGGACTCATGGCTTGAAACAACACTAGTGGAGGCAGCCGGCTAATTCTCTAGTTTGAGTGGTGTGCACTGCAGCAATAACTATCTCCTCCTTTTAATTTAAGAGTAATAGCAGTAGACTGCAATCCTCAGGGTAAGCTCATCAAAGATTTAGGTAACTCAGAAATGGAGTTAATAGTGACTCTTTGCAAGCAGGAGAGATGCTTTATGGCAGAAAAGAGTGCAAATGATGGTGCTCAGTCCCACAGCTCCATCCTCTTCCATGGCAAAACTGGTGGGAATGCAGAATAATGGCCCCCAGCAGCCTTAAAATAAGCACAACTGGACTACTCACTAAGTGCGTTTTCAGAGAGGGCAAGTACGGAGAAGATTCTAGTAGGTTTGGACTTGGAAAAGCGTTATTTGGCTAACTTCACCAGAACTGGGTCTGGAAAGTTTACCTGGAAGGTCACCTCCAGGCAAGCACTGCAACTTCCAGTCCACTAGGGTCCTAATGCAGTGCCATCAATCTAGCTCCCCACATGGAGGGGTAAGCCTTCAGTAGTGTTGCAAAAGAGTTTTGATTGAAGAAAAAAAGTGCATGTAGAAAAAGGCAAGCCTTTACAATGGCAGAGCTGAAAAAGCTGTTCTTCCTCTTAGGACAGTAGCAAAAAACTGAGACATGCTTGGTAGTAAGAGGGGCTATACTGGGCTGACCTGTAGTTGTTTGCTGGTGTTCAGTCCTGTATGTAGCAGTATAACCTGTAGGTTAAAGGCTTTGGGGTTGATTTACTAAAGCCAAATAGGCTGTGATCTGTGCAAAGTGCAGTTGCACCTTTCAAGAGCAGTTACTCCAGAGCTTAGTATATGAGCAGAAAGTCTGCTGACTTCCATCATCCAATCATGTGGAAGCAAAAATGCTGTTTTTGTTTTTTTTTGCTTGCATGTGATTTATGAAGCACTGGAGCAACTGCACTTGCAGAGTTCAACTGCAGTTTGCTAAGAACACAGTCTAATTTGCCTTCAGTAAATTGACCCCTTTCGTATCCCTCAATGGATATTGCCCCTCAATCTATTGTCCATTGAGGGGCACATTGTTTTTTATATTCATGAAGGGCTGTATCCTTCATTGGACTGTGAAAAATGGATTTTACAGTGCATACTAGATTGAAATTTTTTTCAGAATCTGCTCTGCCAGTCACCTGCATCTAAAATCCAGTTTGAAGGTCTGTATCCCACTCTGCAAAATGGGTTGAAAGCATAGTTGCTACCAACTGGTATGTAATGTGGCCTTTTAAAAATAAGCAACCAAGACAGAATGTCTTCCAGTCTGGTACTGGTTTGTTCTTACCCCTGTGCCCAGCGGAGGTGTAAATTTATATAGTGTAGGGGATTAACCTGAAGCTTGTTTGCTCTCCAGTGGCAACAGGCACATTTTAATGTAAAGAGCAGGGAGACATACACTTTCATGTAGATGTGTGACAAATTAGGGCTTCAAATTTTGCTAATAAAAGGCTTTGATTGGAATTTAGGTTTGGGGAAGATGCAGGACATTTTTTGAGTGGATTTGACATTTTGTGCAAGTGGTTTTTTTTTTTTTTTTTTTTTTCTGCTTTACTAACCAATAACCATTTTTAATATCCAATTTTTATCTGCAAGATGTATATTTTATAACTAGGAACGTTTCAGTAGTGTGAAATATACAGCTATATGAAGTAATAATTTTACAAATCTACGAACGCATAATTTTTAAAATATTTAGAATAAAGGTTTAAATCTGGCATGGCAAAATTTCTATTTTATAGGTGATATGCAGCTCTCATTCGTTCTGTGACCCGCAGTGGTATAAAAAAAAAAAATAACCCCCAGCTGTTCATTATTTGACAAATTACTATATTTACCGTATTTTCCGGCGTATAAGACGACCCCCTACTTTTCCTGTTAAAATATAGGGTTTGAGCTATACTCGCCGTATAAGACTACCCCTCTTCCAACACACACCAAATAAAAATGAAAAAACATCAGATTTGATTTCAATATGGTTTGCTATTTCAGTATGGTATTCCAATGATGGGGTGCTATTCCTCCCACTGACACCAATGATGAGGCACTACTCCTCCCACTGACACCAATGATGGGGCACTATTTCATCCACTGACACCAATGATGGGACACTATTCCTCCCACTGACACCAATGATGGTGCCCCATCATTAGTGTCAGTGTGTGAGGAATAGTGCCCCATCATTGGTGTCAGTGGGAGGAATAGTGCCCCATCGTTGGTGTCAGTGGGAGGAATAGTGCCCCATCGTTGGTGTCAGTGGGAGGAATAGTGCCCCATCGTTGGTGTCAGTGGGAGGAATAGTGCCCCATCGTTGGTGTCAGTGGGAGGAATAGTGCCCCATCGTTGGTGTCAGTGGGAGGAATAGTGCCCCATCGTTGGTGTCAGTGGGAGGAATAGTGCCCCATCGTTGGTGTCAGTGGGAGGAATAGTGCCCCATCGTTGGTGTCAGTGGGAGGAATAGTGCCCCATCGTTGGTGTCAGTGGGAGGAATAGTGCCCCATCGTTGGTGTCAGTGGGAGGAATAGTGCCCCATCGTTGGTGTCAGTGGGAGGAATAGTGCCCCATCGTTGGTGTCAGTGGGAGGAATAGTGCCCTATCGTTGGTGTCAGTGGGGAGGAGGAATAGTGCCCCATCGTTGGTGTCAGTGGGGAGGAGGAATAGTGCCCCATCGTTGGTGTCAGTGGGGAGGAGAAATAGTGCCCCATCGTTGGTGTCAGTGGGGAGGAGGAATAGTGCCCCATCGTTGGTGTCAGTGGGGAGGAGGAATAGTGCCCCATCGTTGGTGTCAGTGGGGAGGAGGAATAGTGCCCCATCGTTGGTGTCAGTGGGGAGGAGGAATAGTGCCCCATCGTTGGTGTCAGTGGGGAGGAGGAATAGTGCCCCATCGTTGGTGTCAGTGGGGAGGAGGAATAGTGCCCCATCGTTGGTGTCAGTGGGGAGGAGGAATAGTGCCCCATCGTTGGTGTCAGTGGGGAGGAGGAATAGTGCCCCATCGTTGGTGTCAGTGGGGAGGAGGAATAGTGCCCCATCGTTGGTGTCAGTGGGGAGGAGGAATAGTGCCCCATCGTTGGTGTCAGTGGGGAGGAGGAATAGTGCCCCATCATTGGTATCAGTGTGGGGAGAACAGTGCCTCATCGTTGGTGTCAGTGTGGAGGAGGAATAGTGCCCCATCGTTAGTGTCAGTGGGGGAGAGGAGCGGCTGCTCCTTCTTCCAGTTCGGCCGCTCGATTTTCGCGGTGCCGCTCGGCTCCGCCTCCTCGCCGGTGATTGGTCGCCTGTGTGCCTTTCCAGTGCTGGCGCCCAATCACCGGTGAGGAGGCGGAGCCGAGCGGCCGCGTGACCATCGAGCGGCCGCGCTTCCTGGACCGGATCATCGTGGGACCGGAGCCAGGTAAGGTACAGCAGCCCTCTGCCCACCCCTGTACTTAGTGTCCGTTGGAGGAGGAGGCCTCGAAAAAGTGCTGCCCTGACATCGGCTCGCACCGGCGTATAAGACGACCCCCGACTTTTCAGAAGATTTTCAGGGTTTGAAAAGTCGTCTTATACGCCGGAAAATACGGTAATCCCAGAGAAAGTCAATAAAATATTTCCAGGAGGTAAATTTATGTAAACTACCATTTTTCTATACGTTAAGTGCCATAATAATTTTCTGGTATTAAGTAGGTGCAACCCTCAGTCGACATATTGCACCCCACAATAGCCATAATATGACCCTTTCGAACCCTTTAGTTTCATGCCTGGTTTTAAATGAAATGCCCTGTTTTTTTTTTTTTTTTTTTTTTAAAGTCTCTATACATTTCAAAATTCAGCAATTAAGAATGTTTGTTTTTTGTTTTTTGTTTTTTTCTAGTGAAACTTCCTGATATAATGGGAAAAATGTTCTTTGATGAGAAGAACTTAAAAGTTTTGCTCAAGCATTTTGAATTGTTTCTAAGGTATGTGAATAGTTCAGATTCCTGTACTGGGCTCCTGTTTAACTCTACGTACCAAGAGGAGCTGTGTATGTTTGCATATTAAGAGACCAGATGGTTATGTGATGAGTATTGTTTATGTATGGCAAGGCTTTTTTTACTCTGTGTTGGACACCTGTTTATAGAGCCTGATATATATATATATATATATATATATATATATATATATATATATATATATATTTTTTTTTTGTACAGATGCTCAATTCTGGGTCAAACTTGCAATGAGCATTGTACAGGGGATCAGAAGGGCAGAGCACAGGGGATCCAGGAAAGAACAGCACAAGGGGGCCTGGAGGAAACAGTACTGGAGGGCACAATACTGGGGTCTGTAGCAGTTTTCCTCATGCAGAGTAGCTCAGGAAAGCTTCTGGAACATATCTGGCACACTGATCCCCCACCTTCCCTCCTCTCGTGTCCCTCCCGAGTGATGTCACACACTGGCACCTGGGACAGACGAGAGGAGAGGGTCGACTGGGATCAGCGCAGCACAGTGATGCAAGTTTCCCTCTGCAGCTTAACTGTCTGCTCAGTAGGAAAGGGATCTAACCTGTCATTCCACTGATTTGCACTGCACACCAGTCAGTCTTTAGTTTGTGATGGACAGGTAGATCATGGTGGAACCCCGGTTGAGAAACACTGCTCTAGATATTGGTCTCACAATTTTACTGAGAAGAGGAAAAAAAAACAATTTACTGACCAGACTATAGGTAAACATTATGCTGTGATGGAGAACATTTTAATAGGATGTTTTAAAGGACATAATGATAAACTAAATTTGTCAAATTTACCCTCATACCTGTCAAGGCCTTAGAGTAGAACAGAAACTATAATCTACTGTATCACAACAATCCCCCAAATGTAGAAGGTACATTAAATTGTAGCCTTTCCCTTGCAGTGCCCCCTAGTGGCAGAAATGCAGATACCCCTTGTCTGAGAGCTGCTTTAACCATTAGCCGCCCGGCCAATAGCCGTTTGGCGGCTTGAAAAGCGCTGCAGCTTTCCGGGTCCACGCCATTTGGCGTGCTGCACATGCGCCGTTTGCGCTATTGCAGAGCGGCGCAGCAGCGGGATCTGTCACCGCCCGTGCACCTCGGACACGGCCGATGACAGATCCGAGTACCGGCTCCCGTTGTACCATGTGACCTGCCGCGACCAATCACAGCAGGTCACATGACAGTTGTATACAATGGATGGCTTCATTCATGATGCCATCCATTGTATACTAGTGCCTAGCTGTGAATGGTCACAGCTAATCACATGCACATGTCATGTGATTAGCTGTGACCAAATCACAGCTAAGCACAAAAAAAAAAAAAAAAAAAAAAAAAGCTGAATGAATCGATTTCATTCAGCTAAATGCTTGCTTATAGCAAAGTAATTCTTTGCTATAAGCAAATTGTGTTAAAAAAAAAAAAAAAAAAAAAAAAAAAATACTGATCATCCCCAAAGTAGTACAATGTTACTATGGTAACATTGTACTATTTTGGTCATAGTAAAATATGAAAAAAATCTTAAAAAAAATTAAAAAAAAAATGTAATAAAAAATTAAATATAATAAAAAAATAAAAAAAAATTAAAAAAAAATATAATTTTTTTTTTTTTTCATACTGTCACCAGTCAGTGTCCCTGTTCACCGCCATGCCAGTTATATGATGACGCTGTACTGCACTGGTGACAGTATGTAAAAAAAAAAAAAGTGAAAATAAAATTTTTCATTTTTTCATTTTCCAAAAAAATACAACTTCAAAAAACCTGCCATGCCCTTATGAAGTACGTCCGACTGTCTACTCAGCAAAAAGGGGTCATTTGGGGATATCTGTACTATTCTGACATTCTTGGACCTCAAGAAATTAGATTGGCTGTCAGTACTTCAGGATTGATCAATATTCAGATCTATACCATAGTTTGTGAACTCTATAACTTTCCTACAAACTAAAAAATACATCCTAATTTGGGTTATTTTCACCAAAGACATGTAGCAGAATACATCTCGGCCTAAATTTATGAAGAACAATTATTTATTTGTAAACTTTTATAACAGAAACCTGTGTTTTTTTTTTTTTCAAAATTTTTGGTCTTTTTTTGTTAATTTAGCAAAAATAAAAACCCCAGCGGTGATTAAATACCACCAAAAGAAAGCTCTAGTTGTGTGAAGAAAATGATAAAATTTTAGTTTGGGTACAATGTTGTATGACTGCGCAATTGTCATTCAAAGTGTGAGAGCGCTGAAACCCCTGGGCAGGAAGGTGTAAAATTGCACGGTATTGAAACGGCTTTAAGAAGTAAATTGTTACTTGAATTGTATTTCAGGATTTGCTTGTCAGCTGAAAGAACCTTACATAAAGTCTCAGAAATCCTTTCATTAAGCTCTTCATGTTATATCTAGATCTATGACATGTTATTCAATCTATATATTCTCAATTTAAAAGAACATATTCCACTTTTTTTTTTTTTTTTCCTCCGTGCTGTCCTAGGCAATCCACTGCCCAGCACCATGCGGTGGCCAAATGGAACTTGATGAACTGTCACGTGTGACCTGTAAAAAAAAAAAAAAAAAAAAAAAAAAAAAGTTAAAGAAAAAAAGTGACCAGTGGAATGTGCAACGCATTAGCCTGTCATTCCACTGAATTGCACCGCACACCAGTCATTGCGTTGTAATGGTTGGTGTCAACAGACCCCTAAAGTGCATTTCAAGACAAAAACTGTTTTTTTTTTTTTTTTTTTTTTGTAGTTTTTAATATAGTGGGGAAGGATTAAAAATATTGCTATCTTGGGGCTCTGTTATAGTTACCGTCACTGACTACAGTTTCGCCAGATAGCATTTGAGGCACAGCGAGAAATAAAAATCTGACGGGTGTTATAGTCTTCCCCCTACCCTACTTATAAAAACATTTTGATTTCTGTCTGTCGTGGTACTGTATGGAACTTCCTGTCACTTTCTGTCTGGTAAAACGGCAGAACAGAAAAGGAAGGGAAATTTGGCTATTTGAGCCCCAGATTTCACTAAAAATGTAATGGAGGTTTTGCCCTTCCCCACTCCAAAAGTCCAAAAGTGAGCAAAACAACTTGGCATACAGGTTAACTTATTCCAACAGAAGGGGATCCCCTTTTTAAGTGTGTATTCAAAATTTAAAGTGGAGCTTCACCCAAAAGGGGAAGTTTTTTTTTTTTTTTTTTTTTTTTTTCCTTTCCTTTTTGTTTTAAGGCCTCGCTCCCTGTCTTAGTAAGGACACCTTTGGGGAGTGGGGGGAATCTGGTACCCGATTTTGACAGGTACCCATCCCACTTCCGCTATGATCTCCTAGGCAGTGAGGACACCGCTGGATCCTAGGACAGGTGAGTGGCTGTTCTTCTTTTTTTTTTTTTTTAAAGTCAGCAGCTACAGTTTTTTGTAGCTGCTAACTTTTTTATTTTTTGTTCACCGGAGATTGGAGCTCCACTTTAACTTATCCTTCATTTACCATTGCTGAGATATCAGTGGTGGTCTGCCTTGATCCCTGTTCATAATTAAGGTGCTCATTTCAAATTTCTAGCCAAGTTGTTAGGGGCTTATGTACATGTGGCTTTGCTGTCATGTGCTGGCTTTTACATTTGAATGCAGTACGGCTCAAATACATGCTCCTGAACACAAAAGGCTGTATTTGCCTACTTTTGCTGCAATTCAAATGCATCTCTAATAGGACATGCTATCTGAGAAACTGAACATGAAACTGATTAAACAGACTCATCCCCCTTGTTCCTTAGAGGTTAGTAGGTATCTACTGACTTGCATTTCTAATATCAAAACAAAGGTAAAGCATGCTTGTGTAAGAAGTATTAAGGTTATGTTTCCTTGTTGGACTCTTGAAAATGCAGAACATTTTATCTATTTTAGCCATGCTAAATTTTAAATTCTGGTGGGAATTTCTCACTATTAGTCATGCATGGTTGCTGACACATTGAATCACATTCTGGTTCTAACAGTTTTTGTGTGGAGCTGGTCCTTGGCATGTGTTCCATTTTTTTTTCTTAAATATTTTATTTTGTTTTGTTCAGTTTATATTTGTAAATTACCATATTATCTACACTGGATAACTTTCTAGATTACCTAAAATAATGTTCCCATACTTACTGAATCAAGGTGCCCTCCCTGGTTATAGGTAATAAACATGTAAATCTGTGTCTAATTCATTGGTTTTTGGTTCATAGATTTCTTGCTGAGTATCACGAAGACTTCTTTCCAGAATCTGCCTATGTGACTGCCTGTGAAGCCAACTACACCACCAAGAACCCTCGTGCCATTTACTGAAATTTTGTCATTTATCCAGTCTGTGAACTGCTTGGATGCCCAATTATATGGTTGTATATTTTAGGAAATGTGAATTTGTGAAATGAACTTTAAGAAAAGCATATATAGATCATCAGACAGGAAATAAGACTATTACCATTTTACTTCTCAACCTTGTGATTTGATGAAGAAATTAATTGGTTGTCATGGTTTTGCAAATTGTCAACTCATCACATCTGTTTGGGGAAAAAAAATTGTAGTCTTATAAATTTGTCTTGTTAAAATGTTTCTTAAATAAAATGTGCTATAAACAATTGGAGGGTTTCCTTTCTTTTTAGTGTTTCTGAATTTGCTGGTTATGTAGAAAGATGGGGTTTGGATTGTCAGTGTTTATTTTTAAGGGACTCTTGAAAACCTGCTCACCAACCTACCTATACTCTCCTTTGACATGTGTCCTAGCTAACTGAGTTTTGATCACAGAGCAGCAGAGTGGTGGTGGAGTAAGGGAAATATGAATATAAGTGGCTCATGGGGTGGGCTTTAACCACTTGCCCTCCAGAGGATTTACCCCTCTTCCAGACCAGGCCATTTTTTGTGATACGGCACTGCGTTACTTTAACAATTATGCTGTCATGCAATGCTGTACATAAATTAATGTTTCTGTGTTTTTTTTCCCACAAATAGAGCTTTCTTTTGGTGGTATTTGATCACCTCAGCGTGTTTTTTATTTTTTGCGCTATAAACAAAAAAGACTGACCATTTTTGGAAAAAAAATATTTTTGACTATATGCTATAAAACATCAAATTAAAAGAATTTTTTTTCCTAAATTTAGGCCAAAGTGTATTCTGCTACATGTCCGCCCCCCCCCAAAAAAAAAATCCAAATAAGTGTATACTAATTGGTTTATGTGAAGGTTATAGTATCTACAAGTGTGTGTGTGTGTGTGTGTGTGTGTGTGTGTGTGTGTGTGTGTGTGTGTGTGAATTTTTTTTTTCTTATACTAGTAATGGCGGCGATCATTGACTTATACCGGGACTGCGGCAGGCATTCTGGGTGGGAAATGACTGTCACTGAGATCCCCAGTGACACTAATACAATGATCAGTGCTAATAAAAAGCACTGACACTGTACCAATAGCACTGGGAAGGAAGGGGTTAACATATGGGGTGATCAACAGGTTAAGTGTGTGTGTTACTTGGGAGATATGCTGCTTTGCATCTCTCTGCTGTGCAGAGACGCAAAGCACCATGTCCATTCTGACAGGAGAGAGATCTGTATTTACACACAGATCTCTCCCCTCTCAACCCTACCAACAATTGGAGTCCCGTCCGAGAATTGCCAGCTGGGACTCAGTGATAACCCCAGCAGCCAATAGCAGTGCGGGTAGGGCGGCATACGTGCCCCCTACCCGAAATTCAAATTACCTGTATGTATATACATACATATCATGCGCAGCTATGCCGTCCTGTAGCAGTACATCTGCTATAGGGCGGCGGGAAAGCGGCTAAAGAACTAAAGGCAAAACTTGATTCTGTGTGGATTTATTTGGATAGAGTAAAGGAGGGCTATAACCCCTGTCCAGTGTTCTTTTTTTGTTTGCCATCTGTGTGTTTATAGGGAGATTTCCCCTTGCTTACTGTGTCATAACCAAGACAGAAAATGAGAAATACCTTGTCACGACAGCTAGCAACCCCATTGCAAGATTTCCCTTCTATTCCTGTTGTGACAACCTAAATTTTTTCACTTTTTGCTCTTGGTGGTAACGGTTAACGGGACAATTAGAGAGAGTGCCTCTCCCCAACAGACGCGCAGCCAGCATAAAAAAAAAAAAAAAACTTTGCTGCTGGAATGTTTTAGAGCACGTGTAGATTTGAGCTATTTTTTTTTTTTTTTTTTATAATCCAACCAATCACTCAAGTTTGTGTGTGGGTTTTTTTTTTTTTATTTACTTTAACTGTTTGACCTCCTAGAAGGTTTTACCTTCTTCCTGATCAGGACATTGTTTGCTATTTGCCACTGTACTACTTTAACTAGTAATGGCTTGGTCATGCAACTCTGTACCCAAATGAAATTTTTGTATCATTTTTTTCCCACACAAGTAGAGCTTTCTTTTAATGATCACTGTAAATTTTTTTTTTTTCTATATGCATGAAAAAATGCATTTAGAATTTTTTTGCAAATAATATTTCTTCATAAATTTAGGCCAAAATGTAGTCTGCTGCATTTCTTTGGTAAAATAATCCAAATCGGTGTATACTATTTAGTCTATGTGAAAGTTAGTCTGCAAACTTTGTAGGACTCGATGCACACGATGAAGGACTCGACCCTCCGCCCTGCTTTTAGGAGTAGGGAAGATATCTGCTGGCGTTTGCCATGAACCTGAGGACCCTGCTTTCTTAGAACAATTTACAGTTGGTATCATCAGCATTGTTCTTTTGCATTGATGCTCTAGATTCCCCAAATGGACAATCATTCTCTAAAGGTACGCACAGAAGACGCTTTTTACAAGCAAGTTCCGCAGACCAAATCACCTTCTCTAGAGTCTAGAGAAGGTGATTTGGTCTGCTTAACTTGCTTGTAAAAAGCGTCTTCTGTGCATACGTTTTAGCTGATTATCGCCTATTTGGGGAATTCTTTGATAAATTTAATCCAGGAATTCACTAGGGCAAAGATACCTTTTACAACACAAGAAGCCTACATCTCCCCCTGCTAAGGCTACTATGTCTTCATACGAAAAGCATTCATTTCACTCTTGCCAGGGGTGTACTTTTAAACCAAGGCTTAACATCTGATTTTGTTGCAAGCCCTGAACTGCCAAGTTCACCAAGCCGGCCCAGTAGCCCACCACACAATGAAGGGGTAACACCAATCTTAGGAGTAAGGAAGATGTCTGCTGGCGTTTGAGACATTCTGAACCTCTGGATCCAAGCTGTCATTTCAAATGGGTCAAAATGGTTTCTGTCTCTACTATATTAACCCCTCTGAATGAAGGGCTCAAAATTCACCTCATTCCACAGTGCATCACTAAATCTTCTAAAGATTATAAAGTAATTCTACTTATACAGTGACTTTTCCCCTTTATAAAGTACTGAAATCAGTCATAATATTTCTTCTTAATTCTGTTATGTAATAAAAGTGCTCCATGTGACAACTGTGCACAATAGAGACATGGGCACTGTACGTGACAGCCATCTTGTTAGGCCTCAGCCATATTGTCTCTCCTGTCCTCCCTCTTGACATGGAATTTATAGCTGTAAGTTGAATGAACTCCAAAAGGGCCTCTTATCTTAAATAAAACAGATGAAGCTCCAGGTCTGTAAACCGCTAATAGTCTGGTACAGGAGGTCTGCTATGAAAAACCACTTTCCTCTGCCTGATCGTAAAAACAACACAGTCGGTCATGACCTGTTAGGCCATTAGGGCTAGAGCGTGCCATAAAATGTCCATTTCACGTGTAACAATTTCACATACAGTTCATAAAGTTCAGCAGGAACTGGGCACATTAATATTAAGCATATATTTGGATATATCATTTGAATGTGAGTCAAACAAGGCCATACATGACTATATTCGCACATAGGAGAGAGAAGAAGCAGTCTCTTCCCTCCTGGGTGACAAGGGTATGCTGTGTTTGGTAAGTTGCCAGGCTGCCACCTGTACATACTGTAAGTTATTAATATTAGTATGAAACTTCAGTTGGGACTTGGTCATAACCTTGGTTACTGCCTAGCACCCATCCCCAAACTGGATGATTGGCCATTTGTTCTCAGGCGACACCCCTTTAATATCATAGAAAAAGACTGAGAGGCTGGAGAAAAGACAGCTCTCATTTAACATCAATCAGGAAACATCTAATGGACTTCAGAGCCAAGGCAATCTATTTGTTTGGACAATTGGACTCTGCTAAAACCAAGGACATTGCAAGTATTCTGCCTTCTGAACTCCTTTCTTTTATTTCTCTGTTGTTTTATTGTTCTCTTTATAGCTTTGTAACATTATTTCTGTAAATATTTTAATTGCACCATTTTGACCTTTTTAGTAATAAATCCTATTTTGAAAAGTGTTGAAACTGTCTCTAAAGCTGTTAATGCAAACTAAAGAATCCCTCTTGAAGAGTGCTACTGTATGTAGTAATCCTCTGAATATATCCGTCTGTGGTGACAGTGTGTATTACAGACGCTTATGCTAATATCATAGTGTTAATATATTCCAATATGGTACCGTGCTCCAATAAATCATGCAACATAAATAAATACTGTGAAAGACATATATATATATATATATATATATATATATATATATATATATATACCACAAATCCTCAAAATTAAAGTCCATTTATTAATACTAAATTATTTGTGAAACAAATCCTTTCTGTAGTGTAGTGTCAATCTCCCAAATGGGTACAGTGTACAATATACCACAAGATATTCTTCCTCTGTGATGGATTAAATGATAGTGTTCAAACAAAACTGCACCATGGATCTGTGTAAACAGCATGAGCCTCTGCTTCCTCAGCACAGCCGTGGTGCAGTTTTATTTGAACACTATCATTTAACCCGTCACAGAGGAAGAATATCTTGTGGTATATTGTACACTGTACCCATTTGGGAGATTGACACTACACTACAGAAAGGATTTGTTTCACAAATAATTTAGTATTAATGAATGGACTTTAATTTTGATGATTTGTGGTGTGTATATATATATGTCTTTCACAGTATTTATGTTGCATGTTTTATTGGAGCGCAGTACCATATTGGAATATATTGTCAACTGATGCACACCTAGTGAGGGTGAGCGAGGCAACCTGTGATCTAATATAATATAACACATTATATTACACCATATTACATTTTATATAGAGACGAAAGTAAGCACCTCTTTAGTGGCTCACAAGTAAAAATATTTGTTAAAATATCATAGTGTTACTGCTAAGATTTGTGAGTTTCCTCCTTCTCTGTAAAAAGGTGGTGGCAGTGTGAAGGGTTGATTGCGTAATTAACCTGACTCTCAGGCT